GCTCGCCCCGCGCGGGACTGGACCGTCACCAGCCCGCGGGCCGGCAGGTGCGAAGCGCTCCCTGTGCCTCCCGCTCTGCGGGTTTATAAGCCCACCTTCCCCATTTGAACGAGAAAAGTGAGGTTCAGAGTGGTTAAGAAACTTGAAAGTCATGCTACCGAGAAGGGGCAGCGTCAGAATCGAGCCCCGGCCTGATGCCGCCGCCCAGAAGCTACTTATTAAGCTCCCAGTCCCTCCTCCCAACTCCGACCGGCGCTAAACGCTTTGCCTGCATCACCCAGCGCGTCGCCTTCGCAGCGTCCGGGGGCCGACTTGCCACCCGGTCCTTTCCCCCCCTCACTGCCCGCCGGGTCTCCGTCCTCACTCCTCTCGCTCAGGTCATGCCGGCGCCCAGGCCACGGAGAAAGGGGAGACACTCCACGCCTGCCCCAGGAACGGTCTGGCCCTTGGTAGGTACCCCATAATTAGCCTTCGAATCAATAAATCAGAAGAAAATTCCCACCAGGACCAGGCTGACCCACAGCCCTTCCACTTGTCCTCAGGAAACCCCTTTCAAGCTCACACCCATCCAGTCATTCCCGTCAATTCACACGCTGTCGCTGTCGCTTCTCCGATCTTACAACTGAAACAAGGAAACAATATCCCCTCTTGCGACCCCTCTGCCCGCTCCAGCTACTGCTGCTACACTCTCCTTCCCTTTACAGCCAAAGCCCGGCCAGCGTTGTCTCTCCACCCTATCTCTCTGCCCGTGCTCCCTCAGACCCCCTCCGATCCAGCTCTGGCCCCCTCCCCCACCCCTGCTAACCCACTAAATGCGTCACTTTTGGTCCCCATGTTACTGGGCCCATGCCGAGTCTCTGTCCTTGTCTTACTGGTCCCTCCAGCAGTATTTGTCACGGCTGCCCACTCCCTCTTAATGAAGTACCTTCCTTTCTCGTCTTCCCAAACACCAGACTGGCACTTTCTCCTCCTCCTCCTCCTCCCTGGCCACCCCCGTCCCTAACCTCTAAAGTTGCTACGGCCCCACGCTCAGCTCTTGATATGCTTCTTCCACACTCATTACCCTGCTGCTGTCACGCGGTCCCCTGGCTTCTCCATGATGCCCAAATGTGCCCGGAAGCCCCGCTTCTCACCTCACCCTTTGTCCCAGTCACCAGCCTCTCCCCAGGCTGCGTGCAGGGACCTCCTCTCGCTGGTAACCCTGCCTCGACCTCTCCCCTATCCAAGCAGCACCTGAGGGGCGATGGTCATCACATCCCTCCCCTGCCTCTCTCTGATCTCATCCTTTCTTCTCCATCGGACAGTCCCGCCACCCTGGCCTCCTTGCTGGCACTCAGTGGCCCTTCCTCCTGCTGCTCCTCTGCCTGGACCAGCCTTGCGCAGACATTTATGCATCACTCTTCCTCATTTCCTTCAGGTTCCAGCTTCCTGATCTCCCTGTTCCAAACTGGATGTGCCTACCCTGCACTCCCCACCTCCTTCCCTCCTTGATCCCCCCCCCATACACTTATCACCGTGTGACATGATTTATGTTTCAAATACCCATTTATTTTATCGCCAGTCGCCTGCACCAGAATGAGAGCTGCACAGGGCAGAGGGCCCTCCCTGGCTGCCTTAGTCACTGCCCTGTCTCCCTCCTGGAACAGTGTCTGGAACAGAGTGACTGGGCACTAGACAAACGTGCGTGGGCACCCAATCAATCTGTACCCCTTCGCCACAGATAACATCCACGATATTTTTTCTTTGCATTGGCTTTTTCATCCCGATAAATGTATTTTCAAAGGAAACTTTGCGTGAGTGCCCTAGATAGAACCCCACTACCACTACCTAGACTAGCCGGCAACAGTAAAAATGAGCAGAAAACACTGTTCTAAGGCTCTGGGGATCCCATTGCCTGTCTGGGGGCGGAGCCCCCTCCTGCCCCCTCCTCGTTATAAAGTGAGATCCACAAGGTAGTCAAGACAGGCCAGCACCTGGGACAGACTTGCCCCTGGACCTAAGCAGAAGAGTAGAAAGAAAATTGAGAAGGAGATGGCTTTCTTCTGGGAACCACCTCTCCGGCTGTCCGACGAGCTCTTTCTGGCTCACCCCGGGGAGAAACCACCTCGTAACAGCTTGTTAATCTCACAACGACCCTCTGAGGTGGTGCTGTCATTACCCCCATTTTACGGACGAGGAAACTGAGGCTGAGACGGGGACTTGCCCGAGCTCACAGAGCACGTTAGAAGGGACAGAGATTGGAATTCAGGTTTGCCTGACCCCAAGCCCTCAGTGGACTCTGAGGCCGAATCTCTTCTAATCTGACCTGGCCTGGCTGTTGGGGATGCTGTGGGGGGGTGGGGGAGAGAACATGGCCTCAGTTTACCCATCTGTAAAGTGCTTCTGGGGATGCACTCAGAACTTGGCCACCCTGGGTCTTTTGGAGAAGTCTGGGAGACAGATGCTTCCTCTTTCTCCCAAACGGCCCTGGGTGTACGCTGTTTCTTCTGGACTAGGAGTGGGGCATGTGTAGATCTGAGCTCCTTGATGTCTCACCAGCACATGACAGGGCTCCATCTCAGAACAGACCCCACCCCTGGGAGCTTGAGCTATGGGACGCCCACGGAAGAACTGGACCTCCTGGAGCCTGTGCACCCACTGGGCTGTCTGATCGGCCCTTGGGCTTCCCCATTATACAGTTGGGTTTAACCGGATGAGCTGGATTCTTGTTTCTTTGTACATTGAAGAACCCCAAAGGACACACTTTTCAACTTCTAGTACTTTCTGCTCCACCCGTAAGCAAGCTGGGGCCTCTCCCATCTTGGTAAAGAGGACAAGAAAATGAAAAGCAACCCCCGCACCCCATGACCTCTAATTCTCTTTTCTCTTCAGCTAGGTGTCTCAAAAGGGTCACCTCTACTCCTTAACTTCTCTTCCCTTCCGAGTCCCCCTTGCCCATTCTCATCTGCTTCCTGTCCCCTCCTGAGGATGAGGGCTCCTGCCCGTGTCGCAGTAACCTGCTTGTGGCCAAATCCTGTCAACAGAAGATCAACAACGACAATATTGTTAACCTTTGTTAACAAAACCACAGACTGAAAGAACTGTAAACTTATGACCTTAAAAATGTATTTCCGGCTTCGTTTCTGACAAGAGTGGCCCATACGCCACCGTCACCTCAGGCCCCACCATCCAAGTCTCATGGTCATCCCAGTGCCCAAAATTCAGTCTCTAAAACCTTCTCTACTAAAGGAGACCAGGATTCCTTGAAGCACAAAAAAGAAAATTAGAATGTTCCAGAATGCCCCGTTGTGGCCAGGAAATAAGGCCACCCTCA